TTTAGCACTCAGCACCCACCTAAGTGATAAATATGACGCACTAATGAAGAGTCACTAGAAGCCCAAGCTTGAAATGTACAAGCACAAGAAGACTGCAGCTCTTAAACTGGAAAGAATGTACCAAACACATTCACATTTATTTTCTTCAGTTTTTTAATTTATGTGTGAGACAGAGTCTCACTATGTAACCCAGGCTGGCCTTGAACTCATGCCTCAACCCTCCCAGGGCTGGAATTATAGGTGTGTGCCATCGTGAGTGGGCATTTTTTAAAAGCAAATAACAAAGACCCAGTTTACCAGCTGTTTTAAATCTAAGCTTAATATTACATATTTAACAATTGTCAAAACTTGGCTAAGTTGCCAGCTTTTATGCACAACTGAAAACCATCCTTAAAATGTAGATTAAACCAGAAATGTGTTAGCATTGATACATTAATATCTTTCATTACTAAACACCAAAAAAAATGGAAAATTACCTCTGTGGATGACTCCTGGCCATGTTAGCTTCACAGCAGGCTGCACTACTTGGCTCAAATTTCAGACACAAAGGCAAGCAGATCCCTGCTGTTGTTAAGAGTACAGTCTTGGCCTAGTGCTACTCAGAGTCCAGGCTTCCCTTGAATCATGTTTAATACAAAGCAAATTCCAATTTTAAGGACAAAAAAATAACCCTCTGTGTAGTCCTGATGGTGACCTGAAAAGTCTGTCACGAAGAGGGGCTCCAATGAGCTGTTTATAAATGCTGTAGGTATAAGTAGTTATACAGAAAATTAAGTTCATTTGAAATCAAAAAATGTGCCTGCCATGCAGGGTGGCACATGCCTATAATCCTAGCACCTGATTGGCTAAGGTAGAAGGATCACTGCAAATTCAAGACCAGCCTGCATTTCTACAAGACTGGCTTAAAAATTTTTTTTCCTATTAATCCTCAAATGGTATTTGTTACAGTTTAACATTTCTGTTAAATGCCTGCATTGAATTACTCATTCAAGCGTAGCAGCTGCTTGTTACCATTTGTGGTTAACTCTCTTTAACTTCTACTCCTTATTGACTGTTCCCTGCGATTTTTCTGCCATTAATGATTTTAGTAGAACTTGATACAGATTCAAAATTGCCCATCTCACCTGCACCAAATGTTGTGAACAAAAGTAAACTGAGGGCCCCCAATGGCCTGAAGACCCAAATGAAGTAAATCATAGATCATACAGCAAACAAAATCCACGTGAAAAGCCACTGAAGGTGGAGAAAAAGGGACCTGCACCATAGCTTCTGCTTCATAGAGGGACCACTTTGATTCCCCCCAAATCTTTGAGTGGGTCTTTGAAGAAATCAGATGAAAACAAAGTCCCTTCCACCAAAGTATTCCTGAAGACAACACCTGGATTCTGGAATGTGAAGCCAAACTCAAATGAACTGTCAGCGTGTCTTTTGCCTTCCCCACCATTCTTTACCATATTTGTCAGAGATGTCTTGTTTTTAAGCAGCTGATAGCAGCTCACATGCCTCACTCAGATGTTTGAATTTTCACTCTGCTTTTTTATTCTCAGGACTTTTATCTAGAGGCCACTTTAATGCCAGTTTCTAATATGTCTTCTTGATGTCCTCAGCTGAGGCATATCTCTGCCCGCCTGGAACTTCATATAAGGCACCATGTTTTAACAGGTCATTGGAACAAATCCAGGATGTGGACGAAGGTGGGAGGGTGCAGCTGTGTCTTTGCAGCTCCAGCATGGTGCGCATGGCACTTCCTCCATCTCTTTTCTATATTCACTCATTCAATACTTACAGTACATGTGATGTATGCTAAATACATGCTTCTATCTGAGTTCACCGGGAAATGCAAAAATAACTGAGACGCTGGCCCTATTTCCCAGGAACTTATATAGTAGATAAATTACAAGGAAAATGTCTGCAGCCCTTCCTCCCTGACCTATGGGAAGATATATCAGTCATCCTTGCTGGTATATCTCCAAACAGGGTATGTCTGGCTTGGGCAATAATAAAGTTCAGTATTCACACAGACTACAGTTCACTCAACAAATATTTTCTGAGTACTAAGCATTATATAGAGGCTTAATTTCTATATAAACAATTTGTTTTCCTTATAGATAAAGGGCCAAAACAATTTTCAATGAAAGGATATTTTCAAAATTTTTAACATTTTTTTTATATCTCTTACATGTGTGAACAAGTAACCAACTAACATATAGATCCTGAAACATTGATCTGAAGGAATTTTCAGTTAGAAGTAGCTGATATAACATTTCCTGTCATATAGAAGGCCTTCCACAAATGTTGGTTGAAGTGAAAGTATGATCTAATAGATAAATCTTTTTAGCTGTTACTAACAGCCAATAACCATACAAATTATTTTACAAAGAATATGAAAGAGAACCAGGTTCTAAGGTTTGGTGTACATGTGTGTATGTATAGAATGTGATGGAAAATTGAAAAGAATGACCTCAGAATTTTTTCCAAAATGTAGCAGACATCAATATTCTCTACTGTCCTTAAGGCCCAAGCTATCCATTGTATTAATCCATCATGTATCAGGAATGTCCAGTCTAATTAAAGGTTTTTAGTTTTCATCATCAGCTTCATTATGAAAATTTTACACAGCCATCATCTAACCTGTGTCAGCCCTACTTTCCACCCAGGTACATACCATTAAGTCCACATACCTATGTACTCATAGAGCTGTGCTGAAGGACTCCGTCAGCTTGGAAGTCTTGTCCTTGTTGAAGTCTTTCTTAGATTCTCCAAGGCCGAGTTTTTCCTCCATGTCTTCTACATTCCTATTACTTTGTGTAGACTTTATTACCTGATATTTTAATTCACTATGTCTGTTTCCTTTTCACAAGTGTATAAGCTCTGAAAGGCCAATAACTTTTATTATTTTGTAACCTCAGTATTAATTGAAGAAATAGTGCATTTCTGAATAATTTCACTCCTGTGAAACTCACTCCAATCCTTTAGTAGAGAGCTTTTTGATTTTGTTAGTCTGCATTATATGTATAATTCCAAGTCAATATAGCAAGTCAGTATCTCTTACGTGAGAATCACAAAGGAATAAAGAACCAGTACTCTTTACTGCATAGAAAGTATTCTCAAAATGCCTCCACTAAATCTTTATCAATAAGAAGTATAAGACCTTTGCTTAAGTACTTTATGAAAAAGTTTACTGTTTCCTGGGAATATACCTTTTCAAGTTTTTATTGATTACCTAAGAACAATTAATTAAAGGGTTCTGAAAAAAAGAGTGAGCCCTTGATGCAAAGTAGTCCCAGTATGAGGTTGTCAATGTTTGTTTGTTTGTTTGTTTGTTTGATGGTACTGGGGTTAAAACGAAAGCTTTTACACTCAGCAACATCTGCAGCCCTTTTTTTATTTTTTATTTTGTGGCAGGGTCTTGATAAGATGCTAAGTTGTCCAGACTCAACTAAAACTTGTACTTTTTCTGCCTCAGCCTTCCAGTGTGCTGAGATTAGACATGCTCCACCACACCTAACTTGAGTTGTTGTAGTCTTTGGCTATGGGTGATTGAAAGCTGCCCAAGCCTACATAGCCTGTTTGTCTGAGCTGAATGGAAGGTAAATTGGGGCATTCCTCCTCAACCCGTGCTGAATTCTATCCAGGACTAGTGTAGATAACATATCAGGCAACGATATACAGTAAGTATATATGCTTTTGTTTACCTTGCTTTCTCCATTGAAAAGTAAGGTGGAAGATGAGGGAGTTGCCAGTAGTGAGAAGTTGGATGTTTGCCTTTGTATATTTACAATTTAGTTTTAAAAAATGGATTGCAGACGCAGGACTGAACTTGAATCCCAATGTCACACCTGCTGTGTGACCTTCAACGAGTTTCTTTATTTAACTGTGCCCAGTAAAACCAGTGAAAAACACGTTTATCTGATTAGGAAGCTTAAGTAAGAAAATGCATGTAAACTCTTTAATGTCCTCTTTAAAAATATTAAGGTTGGTGATAATAACACCAGTCGTATGTGTAACGAACTTCTAGCTTAGATACCTTGGTAGAGAGTAGAAAATTGAGACTGGAAGTTTTTGAGGAAGATTAGGCTGAATGTGTTGCATTTGAGATATCTGTGGATCTGCAACTCCAGTTAGAGACCTGGGTGGAGACTGTAGATGATTACAGGTGGTGATGGACACTGTGGGAGCAGAAGGCCTCTCTGAGTATAAATAAGTAAAATGAAGAGACCACCAAGTGCAGAATCATGAACGACATAATTTTTATGACTTAATACAGGAAAAGAAGTCAGCAAAAGAGACTGAGAAGAAATGTTGATAGACATATGAAGGAGCTAGGGATACAGCTTTAGTGGTGGAGTGCTGTCCTCCAGCATGTGTATGGCCTTGGATTTGATCTCCAGCACCACAAAAATAGCAATAAGATAATATGCAGTACTGGGAATTAAATGCAGGGCTCCACACTGAGTTAAAGCCCTAGTCCTTTTATTTTTATTCAGAAACAGGGTCTTGCTCAGTTGTCCAGTTGGAACTTGAATTTAGAATCATTGTACCTCAGTCTCCCAGAGTGTTAGGATTACAGGTGTGTACCACCGTGCTGGGGTTAACAATAAGGAAAAATTTTAGCTGGGTGAGGTGGTGGTGCACTCCTGTAATCCCAGTACTCCGGAAGCCCAAAGCACAAGAATCACTGCAGGTTCGAGACCAGCCTGCACAACAAAGTGAGTTCAAGGCCAGCCTGAACTGCATAATGAGATGCTGTCTCTAAAAAAATAAATAAAAATTTAAAAATTAAAGAAATAGAAAAAAAGAATAATGACTTTTGCCAGGCCACTTTTAGTGAAATAATGTGTAAGAATTAATGATAAACAAGAAAGCAATGGCAGTAAATGGGAAATTTGCTAAGTGTAAAGGCTAATGACTAAGTAGAGTTACACATGTCTGTTTAAAACTAATAAAAACTGCAAAAAGGATGAAAACGATGTAATGTATTTTCTTTTTCTTTTTCATAGTGAGAGTCGAGCTCATGCCTCATGTTTGCCAAGCAGGCAATTGTGTTGCTGAGCTAAATACCTGGCCCTAGGATACAGTATTTTAATACAAGATAGTATTCCTCAGCTATAGAGATGGATCAATTCAAGGCTTTTATAGGTAAATGATGCAAGTACAAGTGAAATAAAACAGACCAATATGGGTAAACAGCATGTTGTCTCCCTAGGGTAAGAAACTGAAAGAGTAAATAAGATCCAAAAGGTATATGGCATATTCTTAAAGAGAGTGAAACTGCTGAAGAGGAAAGAAATGGGACAGGGAAGAGGACAAAAGAAACCAGGAAAAAGTTACATATATATATGTGTGTACACACACAGATACCTAAGACCGTTCTACTACTAATGATCATAGTTCATCGAAAGGAACATTAACTGCTTCTATTTGAGTAGTCCTGCATCTGGTTATCACAGCAACTATTTTGAAGACCACCATATGCAATATAATAAGCAATGTTAATTTCCTCTCTTGTTTTGAACTTCTGTATTTTTTATGGGTTTTAAAATTCTCTTTAAAATTGAAAATGGTTGAAAGTGTTTGTCAGTATTTTCATTAAAATTCAGGTTAGCTGCCCCATTTGTAATAAAGCAGGCAGGAGCTTGTTTTTATATATATCTCCTACCGGTTCTTCTGGTAACTTAGAGCAAGTTCTGTTTTGCAGCACTTGTAGACAACTGTCACGATCACACATAAATGTCCTGATCATTTCACTATTATCGTTTCAATATTATAAGTGGGATTAGTGACATATGCCTTTAATCCAAGGTGTTTAGGAGGTAGAGGTGGAAAATCAAAAAGTTTGAGGCCAGTCTCAGCAATGTCTGTCTCAAAATGAACAAACTAAGCTGAAGCCAGCTGCGGTGGCACACACCTGTAATCCCAGCCCTCAGGAAAGCTGAGGTAGAAGGATCCCTACTTCAAACCCACCCTAGGCAATTTGGGAAGACCCTGTCTCCAAATACAACAGTGCTGAGAAAGTAGCCTCCTTTGAAGGCCCAAGGTGAAGTCCCCAGCACTGCAGAAAAACGAAACGGAGTGATGGTGTAGGCATGAAGAAGGGAAGTGCAAAGGCACTCCTGGATTTGATCTGCACTGCCAAAAAATATTGTTCTTTGTACTGGGGAGTCATTTTCAGATCAAAATAGAATGTACAACCTAGCTGCTATTAACTCAAATTTTTCTGCTGTCTGAAATAATTAGGAAATATTCTGCTGCTTACTTTTTCAAGATCTTTGTTTATAGAATTCTCATGTATAATATATTGTTTTATTTTAACCTAACAGAATTAAAACATGCTTCAGAAAGTAAGCTTATAATACTACAAACCGAGAATAAAAAACCTGAAAAAGGTGCTGGACAGTATGGAAAATTCAGACAAGATAAAGCCAATGCAACGAAGCCTAAGACGGAGATGGACTTTGCTATAGTTATTCAACAAGTGTTTCAGGTAACATTTCTATAAATCAGGAAAGGAGTGATAAAAGACCTTTTAAAAACACCACTGATATGAATACTTACCACGGTTTATGTTAGGCTGTGGTCATAAGCTAATTCAGTACAACGACTGAGTACGTGGCCGCACTGGAGAGCGCTTGCCTAGCACTGGTGAAGCCCCGAATTCAGTCCCAGCATTGCAAAAATCATAATTGTCTACTGATACTTACTGTACTTACATATGTATTATTCATGTACAGTCAGCATTTAGGGGCTCATTTTTCATGGTGGTTAATCATTAGGATTTAAAACTGGCTCGTGTTCTATAGCTCTGGAGGCAGGTTGGTGTACAGCTTTAGCTTCCAAGTTTGAGGGCAGAGTGGACCTGGGTGAGAGTGGCAGTTAAGATGGTGACTGCTGCCACTGGGAATTTAGCTCAAGTGGGTACTCAAGGACATGAGTTTGATCCCAACCCCATCACAAAGAGAGAAATATCAGCATGATGTCTGGTCCAAGTAAACTCTAGTAAATGTTGACATAAAATTTTTCCCCTGAGACATTAATGGAAAGAAACAAAGACAGAAAGACAGACAAACAGACAGACAGACAGAAAGAAAGAAAGACAGACAGAAAGGAAAGAAAGAAAGAAAGAGAGAGAGAGAAGGCTGACTGAGCTGACTATGGAGGCCCGTGTTTGTCCACACAAAGGGCTGGGGATGCAGCTCAGTGTGACGGCCATGGGTTCCACCCCTGGGCCTAGGGATGAAAGAAGAAAAAACTGTCTGTGGAAATTGATGAGGTATTTGCAAACATCATAAACATACCTTTACCCTGCTGAAGCCTCTTGTAAGGAGAAATAAAGATAAAAGTGTATCACGCGCTGGGAATACAGGCAAGTGTCACAGCACCTGCCTGGCTAGCATGAGGTCCTGAGTTGAATTCTTGGGACAGAAAGAATAATTGTGTATCACTCTTTTCTGTGAATACAGAGCTTCCATACTTTTCTATTAAATGTTAAAAGAAATTAAATAAGGTTAGTAAAGGAATTATTTAACAAAAATCTTGTTAAAATTTTAAAGTGCTTATATTTTAAAGTTGTTATAATTCAGTTGTTTTTGTTTTTATTTTAAACTATAGAATGTCATTTTGGGGTCTGAAGTCAACTGGGCAGCAGAGCCAGCACTCAGGGAAACTGTTCTGCAGCTTGAAAAGGCTCTCACCACAATCTAACAAGAATTCCACTGGACCCGGTGCTGCCATGTGTGCCTTTGATCTGAGCACTCAGGAGGCTGAAACAAGAGGACTGCCACATGCTGAAGACCAGCAAAGATTTGCACCTTGCAGTTTTTGGATTTTTGTCTCTGATATGTCATTTCAATAGCAAGTTTCAAGTGAAATGAATTTGCAATGTTTGGGGAACTCTCCTAATCTGTAATTGCTTTTTAGCTTCAGTTAACACTCTAACACAGAATCTGTCATTTTAAATAACAGTAAAGTAACTGGGTACTCTTAAAAGGGGAATGTCTTAGTCATAGAAAAGCTACCTCGTCTGATGTCTGAGGAATAGGCGTAGTTTTGGACATTCACAAGGTCCCAGCATTTAACTGTAATACTTGTGTGCATTTCTGCATTTGTCAGTCACGATGCAGAGAAGTCTCCAGAGTGTCAGCAGCTGGTATAATTCGTAGTGGGGTTATGAGTAACTGTCTTCTGTTCTCTCTGTGTCTGTTTCTCCCCTCACACGTACTTCTGCACACACACATACAAAAATGCTGGCTACACCCTGGCAATGCTGATGTACAGTGACATCCATGCCCATTTTCAGTTCTGTTTGGAGACAAGGTCTTGCCAACTTACCAAGGCTGGCTTCAGACTTGGAACCCTCCTGAACAACTGGGATTATAAGCATGTACTGCCATGTCCAGTACAGCTCTTTATTAATTAGGAGCTATTGATCATATTTATGGACAGTGTGATGTTTTCAGTATTCTTATTGGAATAAAGTGAAACTTGAAAAGATGTGCTCATTGGATAATAGCTTGTGAAATCTGTTCTTTAGATTAATAACAAATAGAGATTTCCCTAAACTCAAATAGTAGGCTTTTCTTTGAAATATTTATACCTTGTTTTCTTTGATCAATCATAATGTATGCATAGTTTTATTCTGTCAGTTATTGTTTTGAGGTAGACTCTCACTGTGTCCTTCAGGGCATTCTTGAACTCACTGTGTAGCCCAGGCTGTCCTAGAACTTCCTGCAGTCCTCCTGCCTCAGCCTCCTGAGTAGTAAGGTTACAGCCATGCACCACCACACCTGACCTGTTGTTGTCTATATCAATTGTTATAAAGTAACTTACTTTTTGCGTGCAAATTATTATTTTGGAAAGTGCATTTCAGTTCCAGTCATCCACACAGGAACTGGTTGTTTGTTATAGTACTTGGCATTGAAACCAGGGCCATTGTGCTAAGCTCTCTTCAACCATTTATTATTTTTTTTAATTTGTTATTTTGAGATAGGGTGTCATCAAGTTGCTGAGTTGCCCAGGCTGGGCTGAAACTTGATCCTCCTGCCTCAGCCCCCTAGAAAACTGGCATTTTAGCAATGCACTACCACATCACTTGACACCATATTAGTAAATTTCAACCTGTGGACCACCTGAAAAAGTGTGCCTTTATCTGGGACCTTAATGGTCTTTTCCTGTTAGCCAGTTCTAAGAGAAGTAGTGAGTAGGCTTTGCCTGAAATGTTGTTAAATACGGACCTCACAGCTCACTGTTTTATGACGTTTACTTCTGTGTGGGTTTGGGGTTCAGCCGCCCACTCTAGGACTCCATTTGAGGGAGCAGCCACTCAGCAGAAGGCAGGGGCTCCTTAGATCAAGTCAAGTGCATTCCACAAGCAGAAGGTAATCGTCTGCTTAGGAAAGGCAGCCATGGCACCAGCCCCACATCACAGAGGCCTTGGGTTTTCTCCCAGCAAGTGAATGCTGCATTTCAGAGTCAGGAAAAGGAAATGGGAATTTACTACAAATGATGTGATCTACCTTAGCTTTTCTCCATGAAATAGACACCCAAGACTAGGGAGGTGCCGGCAGTCCTAGTGACTTGGGAGGCTGGGGCAGAACTGCTTCAGCCATGAAGATCAATCCAGCCTGGGATACACTTGAGACCTAATGTCTGGCTTATAACCAATCCACAAAAGACACTCTCTCCAGGAAGTAAGCCAATAGCGCAGCCTCTCCTGGTGGTATTTCAAGCTTTAAGAGCTCTCTCTCTCTCTCTCTCTCTCTCTCTCTCTCTCTCTCTCTCTCCCTCTTTTCTGTGACCCTCTCGTTCTCTATATCTCTGTCTGTCTCTGTCTCTCACTCTGTCTCTCTGTCTCTCTCTCTCCCTCCCTCCCTCCCTCTCTCTCTCCATCTCTCTCTCCCTCCCTAATCCTGTTGCAGGGGGTCTCCTAATGTAACTGGCCTAGAACTCACAGGGATCCTCATGCCTCCGCCTCCCAAGTGCTGGAGTTATAGGTGTGCTTCACCACACTCAGATCGTCTTGTTCTTCAGTTGTTCTTCTCATCAGTATCAGGGACTGATAACCTGGCTCACAGGCTGTTTTAGTATATGAAGTTTTACCACCACAAGGCCGTGCCACTATGTTCGCATGTTAACTATGCTTCTATCTTGCTATGGTAAAATAGTGTAACCAAATGAAGTAGCTTAATAGTGACCCGAAGGTGTCTACTGCGCTTTTCCATAGGCTAAGGTATTATGAAAGACAGGTTACCTAGCCCCATGGGAGCTGGCTTCTGTTTGAGGGATGGCAAAGAAATACCAGCATGGCCCTCTCTCAAGGGCTCAGGGGCTTTGCATGGGATTTGAAGAGGGGATTGTCTGTACCTTGAGTCAGGGTGGCTTTGTGAACTGTGACTGTCATGCCCTTGGGCCCACGTGTGTTTATCTGCTCCTCTTACTGTCATGTGAACCTTGGTGGTACCATGGGGTGGCAGTTCTGCCTCCCTCATTTTTGCCTTGACAAGGGCCCAGGCATCCTGGGGCTGGACCTAGTAATCCTCAGGTTTTCCCTCACAATGGATTGAAAAATCTAGTTGTGTTGTAGAATCTTTATTCTGAATTACCTGAATTCTTAATTGTTTATGAGATTCATTTCACTACTGAATTACTGCATTCTACATGTTAGATCCAAGTATTTTATTAAAATATTTTTTATCAAGAAACCTCAGGGTGGACTACGTACCTCCTGTTCCATCACCCACTGTGCTCTGATCTGGCTCCCAGCCAGCATTGGGGATGGGGTCACTGGCCAAGGAGAGGAAAGGCGAGGCCAAGGAAGGTGGTGGCACACTGGGCACACAGGCCGAGTGTGGGTTTAGCAATGGAACAGGCGGGTGCATGCACTTGGCCGTAGTCAGTCCTGGTGTGCACCCTGCCGCCCAGGGAGCAGTGGGTATGGATGGCGCATCCCATGCCTTGTAAGCAGACACAGTGAAGATGAGGACAGATACATTGAGCACTGATGGTGAGTCACTGAGTGACCTGATAGCAGTCTCAGGGCTGACTCTACCTGTGCGAAGTGAAGACAGAATTTCTGCTTTTGCTTCAGAAGCATTTACCATCCTCATCCTGTGAAAAGTCATCTGCAAGGAGCCTGCATTGGGAATTCTGTGAAGCAGAGTCAGTGCCAGCGCTCTCCTGGCAGGGTCCCTGAAACGTCCATTCGGATGTGATCGGGACTTTGTGTTTCACTGAACACTTTCTTATGCCTCCTGTGTAACTGTGTTTTGCTTAGTTTTTATTTTTATTGGTATGTGATCACAGTACATAATGATTATATTCATCAGAGACAGTTGGTGGATATGCATGATAGATTTTTCCTCGATGTGGTAGAAAAACAAGAGTAAAGAAAGGAAAAAACAAAAAAGCCTTTATTGCTGGCATGAGAGGGCTGCAGTGGGGTGCAAGATCCCTTCAGGGCAGACAAAGAAACCTGGAGCTTTTATTCAGTTTGAGAGGGGTGGAGTTCGATGGGGTGGGCAGAGTGACATTTTGACAGTTGATTGAGGGATTGTTGATGTGTGCACAACAAGTGGAAAGTTCAATTTTTGGGTTTGGAAGAAGAACATGAAAGTCAGTTTTGAAGTGAGGGACAGTCCAGTGCCATGTTGGGCAGGCACCATGCTGAGCCTGGCAGTGCTCTACAGAGCGGGATCCATTATTCCCATCTTTTGGGTGTTAGAGGCACCCACTCTAAACTGCTTCCTGCTGACTGGAGTGACATGATGGGAATTGAAGTAGTCCTTGTGATGACAGGTTGGACCCGGGTAGAATCTGGGACCAGGGGTCCCCTCAGGACAAGGAGTTATCTTGTTATAAAGGCTCACAATCTGAATTGAAGAAATCTTGAGAAAAGTTTAAATAGACAAGGAGCTATAATCAAAAAATAACAACTAGTATGAGAGGTCCTGCCAGGGGAAGAAGCTAGGAGGAAAGTGTTCCCTTTTCTATAAGAACAGCAGTCAGACTTTTTTGCAGATATTATCGTAATGTATTTTTAATTGCCCATAACACTTGTTAATTACTGGAATAGTTGGAAACTGACTGAAGAGGTTAAACTTGGAGCCCTTTTTATATTTAACTTATACACATTTTTATATCCTTTGATTATATTTTTTTCTACATGTTTAAGACCAAGTTAAATTGAGACCTGTGTTAATTAAAACTAACCTCTTGCTATCTATCAAGGTCAGGTAAGCCTCCTCAGGGTTTGTCTTGGAACCATGTATGGAGCCTCTCAGTTCTTGACAGTGTCTGCCATCTGGATGGTCAAGCAATGAGCCATTGTTGACCAAGTTGGTTTCTGTGAAAGCTTTGGGGAGCTTTTTCCTGGTGACTCTCCTTAGGCACACTGTATATTGTGTCTCACTTTTTGGTAGTCCCATAATCTCTTTGATGCCAAGACCCACGGAGATAAGGAATGTCACTGCAGAGGTTCTCTTATATCCTGGGTCTTCAGTGACCTCAGAGGGCAGGAGCCAAAATATTGGTTGTCTCCCAGCCTATTCATCTTTTTAAGTTTTGGTCTCCAAATATCTATTGTTGAACATCCAGAAGTAAGGATTGGTAATATTATAGTGTAATAAGGCAGCATATTTAACATTATTACCTTACCTGAATATCAAGCACCTTAGAACATAAAATAGCAACCAATATTTCTATCAGTCATCAATGTCCTAATACTTAAAGCCATGGAAAATGTTAACAGTTACATAGTTTTCACAGAAAATTTAATAAAACCTATACATAATATTGTAGCATGAAAATTATGACACTTTGTGTCAATCTGAATTTGCATTTTGACCTAAGATACCCCTTTTAGTCGATCATCCCTATCTAGTACATAAGCTTTACCTGACTGGTTTATCTTTAGTGGGATGTGCATGTAGTAAGTTTGCGTTACAGACAGAGGTCTGAATCTGAAACAATTTTGTTAAACAATCTCTGTTTTACATTTTTTAAAAACCTGTACGTGTGGAAGAATGAATATATTAATACACCGGTTAAAAACAATCTATCCTTCCATGTGAAACCTTTGTATCAGAGCATATTTAAATCAAAAAAAATTATTGTATCATTTCTTTTGACAATGACCGATGTGAACATAATACAATAATGTGTTTTTGAATTTTAGTTGGGATATCTCCCATAAAGCTATGGAGGTCATTGGATCCTCTGATCAATTTAAATGTTACCAAGTAGCCTCTTTCTGAATCATCAGCTCCACTGAAGTCCTATCCAATAATGCCCCCCCCCCTTACAGGATTTTAATTATCTTAGCAATTTCTTAGCGACTTATGCAAAATCCAGACACCACATTTAGCATACTATTTTTAAACAATGAGAGACTGTTACATCACGAAACATAAATAAAAGTATTATCAAATTTACATAACCAATTACAGCATTATTTTGATAACCTGGCAACTCAGGTGGAAGCAGGGTTTTAGACATATAACCCATATTAAATTT